TGATGACAATGGCATTATGGTAAATAAGGAGAAATGTTTAGGGTGTAATAGGTTTTTTATAATTTTCGAAAATAAAATCAGATTTAAAAATAATGGCAATTTGGTAAATAGGTGGAAACATGAGGAGAGTTTAGGTTTTTTAAGAGTGAATAGTAATGACAAAAAAAAGAGGTTGGTTTTGTGTTTGACTTGAAATTTTAGGTTGGTTTTGCAAAAACCCCTAAATATATTATTATTATTTTCTAACTTTAATTACGAATTAATAAAAAATTATTTATTTTAATTCGTTTTTGATTTTCTTTAAATCTTTAATATTCTTTTTTTCATTAAACCTAATAAAATATATTATTATTATTATTTTCTAATTTTAATTACGAGTTAATAAAATATTTTGTAATTTTTTAAATTTTTAATTTTTTTTTTATAATTTTTAATATACTTTTTCATTAAACCTAATAAAATATATTATTATTATTTTCTAATTATAAATACGAATTAATAAAAAAATATTTTTATTTTAAAATCTTTAATATAATTTTTCATTTAACCTAATAAAATATATTATTATTAGTTTCTAATTTTAATTACGAATTAATAAACTGTTTTATGGATATTATTGTCATTTAGATAAATATTAACCTAATGGGACACTAACTAAATGAGATTAGTTTAATGGACAACTTCCTATTGATTGGGGAAACTGTTTTTTTAGCCCAAAACCATTAGGAAGTTGTCCCCTTAGACTAAATTGTATTTTATCTCATTTTTTACTCTAATGCCCTTTATCATTTCCAGAAATTAATAAAATAAATAGACTGATGAACAAAAAAAATATTTAAAAATAGTATCTAATGATAAAATACCTATATCAATATAGTGGTATTTTTTTACAGTTTTAAAAATGTGTAAATCACAATTTCATATTTTATTCTACGGATATTAGAATTCGTGTACTACAGATTAGAATCTAGAATCTACTTTTTCCATAATTTCTACTTTTCTCAGAATACGTGTTCTACGGAAGTAACACTATTCTAAAACATATTGGAATACACATTATGCGTTTAACATAGCCTTCTAATATCTGTAGAAACCATAATCTAAACATTTCGATATATCTAAAAAAGTAGAAATCGAAATCTACACATTGCTAACATTCTAATACATGTAGAAACTGATTTCAAACATGTTTACCGAGTTCTACCTTTAGTAGAATATGTATTCTACGGAATAAGTTAATTAGATCCGAAAATATAGGAATAAAATATTTAGAAATATTCATTTTCCATATTTTTAATATCGATTTTTTGAAAAAAAAAATTAAAAAAAAAATTAAAAAATCATGTTGCTGACAAAAAAAAGAAAAAAAAAGAAAAAAAAATTAAAAAAGGAAAAAAAAATCATGCCAAATCTTTCTCAATTGTTTTCTCATGCCTCTTTTCCATTATTCCCAATAATTCACAAAGTTTTCACGTTGTTTCTACCATGATTCATGTCTATGCTTCATAATTTCACTAAGATTTGGGAATTTGGGGAAGATTAGGTTTACGTCTAACTGATTTAGGGTTTTTTGTTATTTTTTTTATTTTAATTTAATTTTTTCATTAAACCTAATAAATATATTATTATTATTTTCTAACTTTAATTAAGAATTAATAAAAAATTATTTATTTTAATTCGTTTTTGATTTTTTTTTAAATATTAAATATTATTTTTTCATTAAACCTAATAAAATATATTATTATTATTATTTTCTAATTTTAATTACGAGTTAATAAAATATTTTGTAATTTTTTAAATTTTAATTTTTTTTTATAATTTTTAATATACTTTTTCATTAAACCTAATAAAATATATTATTATTATTTTCTAATTATAATTACGAATTAATAAAAAAAATATTTTTATTTTAAAATCTTTAATATAATTTTTCATTTAACCTAATAAAATATATTATTATTAGTTTCTAATTTTAATTACGAATTAATAAACTGTTTTATGGATATTATTGTCATTTAGATAAATATTAACCTAATGGGACACTAACTAAATGAGATTAGTTTAAGGGGACAACTTCCTATTGATTTTGGGCTAAAAAAAACTATTTTCTCAAGATAAATAAAGAAACGAGAACTGAGAAACAATACCTTGGGAGATTCGTAACAAAGCTTAAAATAGCACGGTCATTGAGCCCCACCCTAAAGTCTAGACATGAAAGGACCCGACCCGAAGTAGAATGTGAGCTAGTAGTGGTGGTGGTGGTGGTGGTTCGAACAAGCATTTCGAAGATGGCCATGACGATGAATATTGAGATGAGAATGGCGGTGGCAATAAAACCAAAGGAAACAGCATTGACTGAACTGAATCGTTGAGCTGAGATCTCCATGGCTCCTCTTGCTGGAGAATCGTTGGAGCTCCCACAGGTGGCCATTGATGGTTATGATATAATGAGGTCATTTTGAAGCTTTTTAATTCTCTCATTTCGCTTTTTCTTGTCTTTATTTTGATCTTTTTGTTAGCTGTATTGACTGTATTTTGTTATGTCTCAGCCGTGGCAAATGAAGGGAAAGAAGGGGAAAAAAAGGGAGAGAAATGATTTAGCTAAATTCTAAAAGAGAAAGAGGGAGCAATGTGGGGGATATAAAATCCCTTATACAGTATATTAAAAGAGAAACATTATAATAAATGCGTTTACACCGTAATTGACACATGTCGACTTCACAATCATTTGGCAATTAATTCATTCACACACTAATTTTTTAAATTCATTATTTAATGTTTTATATAATATTTTTAATTAATTCATTTTCCTATATTTTTAGCATTTATATTAATAAATTAAAACTTTCTACGTGAAACTAATGAATAAAATATTTATTATAAAAAATTATAAAATCATTAAGATTCGCATCAACTAAAATGTTGCGATGAAAATGTTTGTAGAAATTGAAAGTTTCGTACCTTGCTGAAGTTGGTCATGGTTGAGGCTTCGGTACACAATAACAACAAATACGGTGATTGATTATGAATTAAAGAAACTGAAGTGAAAAACACAACATGTAAAGTCGGATCTTTAGTTTAGTCAAATATTAACATTTTTATAAAGCTTTCATATCAGACCAAGAATTAGAAAGAAAATCTAATTGGTTGAAAAAAATCAGAAATAAAAAAAGCTTTAAAAAGAAATAAAAATCACAAAATCAATTAAAAAACATAATTCACGTACCAATGTCACTTTGTAATATATATTATTTTTATTTTTTACGGATATGATTTGATTTTCATCATATGAAAAAATGTTATTAGTTTCTAGGTATGTTTATTTTTACTTAATTTTATTTAAGAATTTACTATCATGTGTTATTTTGAACAAAAATGTTTCAAATCTTAATTAACAGTATTTGATATATTTATCCTCACATTTATATACTTTTACGTATACATACATGTACACATTGACATGAGTGACTATATAACTAAATATTCATCACAAGTGAGAATTTTAATTCTTATTGAAGTTGAATTTTTTTTAATGTTTTTTCTCACTATCGCTCAAATTGTAGTGAAATGTTTTGTGTTAATAATTTTATTTTCTTTTTTTATTCAAATATTATTTAGATTTTATTTGATTTTACATGTCTTTAAAATTATAATAGGAAACTATTAGTTTGACATAAAAAATGTCTAAAATTTATATAAAACGAAACTAAACAAATAACAAGAGTTTTTGGTTATCATCGAAAAAATTAAAAACATCAAACATTTAAACCAAACAAACCAAAATAAATATAGATTTAGAATAGTAGTTAAATTTTAGGACATTAAAAAAACAACGTAAAACTGAACCAATATTCACGCTAAACAAACATAATATCATTTTTATCTTAAAAGTAAAAAAAAAAAAAAAGCTCATTCCGCGCAAGGTGCGGGTTATTACCTAGTGAGGGAGTATAAAGCATTCACGTTTGAAAATATCTATTTTCTTGCATCTGAATATATTCTGAGTTGAATACACTATTGGACACTTTCTCATTTTTCCTTACATAAAAAGACACTTATCATTTAAGGTGTACATTTTCTATTTTTGAGACTCATTTCGGTCGATTTTGCCTCTGAACATTTGTGTGTTAAATGGTCCCTCGTGTAACTAATAGTAGTGATGATTCAGTTAAAGTAACTTAGTAGCTTGTATTTAATTTCAAGTTAATAGTATTCATCAACCCCTTCTATTTTTATTTTTTTGTATTTAAAATTTTAAAATACATAAACATATATGGTTGCCATAATCAATTGTAACATTTTTGTTTCTTTACTTCAACATCCATTTTGATATATTTTAAAATTTGATAGATAAAATTTGGTGAACATATAATGAATAATCACCACATATTTAAACATCCATTTTAATATATCAATGTCCACGATCTATGTATCCATAACCACCTCCATCGTATCCACACACCGAGTAACCACCTCCATGTTGACTGTATCCACCACATTCATTTTCATAATCACTACAACGGCCTCCACTTCGGTATCCACTGCCTCTTTCACCGCCACTTTTACTACATCCTCCACAAAGCATAGACAAAGACTGTGAGTCTTGCCCATGAGAACATGTGGATGGCTGTGAGTCCTGCCAATGAGAACATGTGGATGTGGATGGCCGTAAGTCCTTACTACATAATATCAATCAGATGCCATTTTCAAATTTCAATCACCACCTTCCACTCTTATGCCTCGCGCTCCTCATCTTTCTTCCTCAGCATCTCCGTATACCAATCTTATTTTGTACTCCTTGATTTACGTGTAGCTTCGTCAGTGTTTAACATATCTAAGAAATAAAAGGTGAGTTGTGTAAAACTTTCTGTCAAGAATACAAATCTGGAAAAAGAGGGGTTTTCGATTAGAAAATATAACCTTGCATGTCGGGGTTGTAAAGAAACCGATGGCTGGGTGGAGAATATAATGGTGTGGGAGTAGTGACTTTGCGTGGAGAGGTGAAGGTGATTTATTTTCTTTATTTTCTGTTTTCACCGTAAAAAGAGGATAAAAGAAGATAAGATTTTACAAATGAAAAATTATAAAAAAAACCTAAATATTATATTAGATAAATCCAGACCAGAGATAGTGTGTGGGAAGGAGAGAACTTACCAACTGAAAGGTATATAGGACTTTACACATGCTGAATATATGCCACCAGCAACATGTGTTTAATTGAGTAAGCCTAAAGACAAAAAGTGTCTCTGGGCATAATATTTCCATATATTTTGAAAAACTAATCTATTAATTTAGGGTCCTATTTATATTTTACCTTGGCATATTTTAGTTTGGACCTATTGAAATGTTGTGACTAGATATAACGACACACTCCTTATACAATTTATATTGGATCATATCTACAAATCTTAATCTATGTATTTCTAGTTCTAATAATTTCATTAATGTTATTTTAGTTTTTAAGAAAGTTTTACCTAATATTTTTTCTGACAGCGATAGTTTTACCTAATCACTAGATTCATTAAACCTATGTGTGTTTCCTCCACAAAGCTTATCGTTGTCGTAGCTTGTGTAAAAAAACCTGAGCATTGAAAAAGAAGATTAGGTAATCCTATGTGTTTCTGCGATCACCGTTTTGTGAACCTTATGAATACTATATTGGATTGGAATTTATTATGATGGTTTAATCATGCGGATAGGTGGAGAGAGTAATGAAGGTGAGATGGGGTAAACCATAACTGTGTAAGTGTATGGATGTTCTGATTCTACTATCGTTCTGGGAGTTGCTGGCAAGATATGGAAAATATACTTCTTTCTGTTTTTCTATATGTGAGCGAGTATAAACTTAAAAGATGCAGTGAGGAAAGTTTTATGATCGTTTGGGTCGGCCATGAAATCGATATTTCATTGTTTGTTAAACGTTTTTCAATTTTTTTTTATGTTTTGTGCACCTGCAAGGAAATAAAAGTTGAGCATCATATCGTGAGAGAGTTCATGTGATTCCAGTTACCGAACAAAACTGCATAGCCAATTGCCGAGAATGTGTATTTTTTTATAGTCAATAAGCATCCTCTTAGCTTCTGTGAAACCATAAACTACAGGTGCAGCATCTCTCTAAGATTGGGGTTTCATTTTCAAGTTTGATATCAGGCTGCATACACAACTCTTCTACCCCACTCTGATATTCAGCTGAAATTAGGAACAAGACACAGTTTTTTTAAGCTTTAGATATGTTATATCTTTTGTGCTGGAAGCTTGTTAGACTCGAGACCATGCTAACTGTTCATGGTGTTTGGACAGTCGAACATGCTCATAAATTCACTTACTCAGTTGTGTTTAGTTCGAACATTTTCTGATGTGTTGTCTATATAACTTCTGACATCGTTGACGCTGATCTGTCTCAGGTAGCTCCATATTATACGTTTTACACACTTTTGTAGGAGCACATGACCGCGGTAGGTATTGTGCCAACTATTAAAAGAGTGAAGTTAAATTAAAAATGTGTAGAAGAAGAGATTCCACGAAGTCAAAAGATTTCAGAATGAAGATTGTCAGGAAGAACCCTTTGAACTATGCTTCGTGGTTTGATTACGTTAGGCTACCGGTGACTGATGGGAACAAATATAGGATTCAACAAACATAAGAGAGTGCTATTGAAAATGTTCCACTTGCCAAGAAGAAACATATTGGCAAGTTACATCTACATGTGGTCAAAAATATTTTACTGAGGAAGTGAAACAAAGCTTGGGTAATCAAAAGTATTTAACTGAAGCAGCCAAAAAAATGAATCTCTTCCTGAGCATGTAGACACTAGTTTTCGTGACTTGTGTTACAATGCTTGATACACTTTGTTCACTTCCCTTTTGTTAGGATACAGTGATGATTGGTTTTTGGATTACCCAAGATTTAATCTATTACGTTTTTGAGATTATTTAGAATATACAAAACCTTGATATAATGTGAATGTGAATTGTAATTTTTCCTACCTTTGACTAATGTTTAATAATTTTACTGAACAAGACAAAATAAATAGTAAGTTCATGTTGTTCATTGACATGTCTATATCTCTGAAAGATACATAATTTAATTAATACTAAATATTGACTTCCCCTTCAAAAGTGCAAAAAATATTTTGTATATAAAAATTTATGACATCTTTATCTTTAAACAGTAGAAACCTTATAAATCAATATTCGATAAACTAATAAACATTATAAATAAATTTGTCTGATTTCGAGGCGGACATGTTCAAAATATGACACAAATCGATAATAACCTTTTAGAAGAATTTATGTAAACATATTGTCCCATTAAAATCATAAAACAAGAATTTATGTATATATATATATATATAAAATTGTATTTTTTTTATATTCACAATAAAATCATCGCTCTATTTTTTTATAATACTTCAATAAATTTTTCCTAATATTTAGTAAAATTATATTTAAACCATAGTTAAATTTTATATACACCAAATA